GTAAATAAGTAAGTCAACAAACAAGTGTTAACAAAGATGTGGAGAAAAGGAAACCCTCATGCACTGTTGGTGGGGATTCACATTGGTGCAGCAATTATAGAAAATAATGTGGAAGTTCTTTTAAAAATTTAAAAATAGAACTTAATACCCAGCAATTTCACTGCTGGGAATTTATCTGAAGAAACCCCAAATACTAACTTGAAAAATTATGTGTACCCCTATGTTCATTGTACAAATTATATGTACTCCTATGCAGCATTATTTATAGTAGCCAATGTATAGAAGCAACCCAAGTGTCCATCAATAGATGAGTAGATTAAAAAAGTGATGGCTGTGTCTGTGTGTGATGGAATATTACTTGGCCATAAAAAAGAATGAAGTCTTGCCATTTTGCAACAGTGTGGGTGGACCTAGAGAGTATTATGCTAAGTTAAATAAGTCAAAGAAAGATACCATATGATTTCATTTATATGTAGAATCTGAAGAGCCAAATAAATGAACAAATTGGAAACAGACTTATAGATATAGAGAACAGCCTGATGGTTGCCAGGTGGGAAAGGTGTTGGGTGTGCTGGGTGAAAAGGGTGAAGGAATTAAGTACAAACTGGTAGTCATGAAATAGTCACAGAGATTCAAAGTATACCATAGGGGATATAGTCAATAATATTTTAATAACTGTATTGTACAGTGCTAGGTAGATACTTGAAATATCGAGGAGGGACCACTTTGTAAAGTATATGAATGTCTATCTACTGTACTATACACCTGAAACTAATACTGAGCATAAATTGTACAAAATAATACAAAATAATACTGAGCATAAGCTGTAATTGAAAAATAAGTAATAATAATCTTGAACCCCTAAAGAAAAATATGGATAATATCAAATATAAATCTTAAAATGTTCCCTCATATTTTAATATTATCTTTATGAAATTCAACTTGTTAATTCAGCCTTTTGAGTAATAGTATCCTATTTGAATACACTTCAGTGGAGAATCACTTATCAGAGAAACAGCTGTTTTGAGTTTTCAAATAAGAGCAATTAATTGAGGGACTTTATTACACAGGTGTTAGGCTGAAGAAGCAAAATGGAGGAGGATAGGTTTGGAGAAGTAAATAGGAAGAAAGGATAATGCCTAAGGATCAAAAGCTTCTGCTGTAGTCCACAAGCCTTCACTAGTTACTACATTCTTAGAGCCACTCTTACAGTCAGTTCTGTAGCTGCCACAAATGTGCTGCTTTGATATGGAATGGTACCATCTACAAGGTGCTGTTTATCCCTGAATTCTATCCCCAATATTGTTAGGCAGCTACCATCATCTGCCAGTCTTCTGCTTTTGACTTGGTCTGCTTTCTAATCTCCCACCAGATGAAAAGCAGAACCTAACTGAAAGCCAACTTGCAAAGGAACCTAGAAAATAGTTTGTTGGCTTTAGCCTTCTATAAAACTTAGAACACAGAAGGACTAGATTGATGCCTATGACAATTCTGTTAACATTAAATTAGTGGTATATATTAACCATATATTTTATAGTTAAAGTTGTAAAATACAACTATTTTATAGTCGTAAAAGTTTAAGTTTCATATATGTAGTCCTGAAGAACTTTAAGAACATTACCAAAGCACTTTTTAATTATCAAAATGATTAAGTAGAAGACTTCCGGCTAAGGTGGAGGTGTAGGTAGACACACTGTGCCTCCTCGAACAACCAAAATAAGGACAACAACAATTCAGAAACAAAGTAACAAGCAAAAGTGAAAGAAAATTAAACTGTATGAAAGTCCGACAGCCAAGGAATTAAAATAGTCACATTCATCCAGACCAGTAGGCAGGGCACAGTCGGGCGGCAGAGAGGAGACGGGTCGAGGCACAGGAAGCGATGACACCAGACGTGCAAGGCACCCTGGGCACACAAGGTGGTGGCTGGCAGACCCAGCGAGATGGCGATTGAGAAGAGGGGCACTGTGCACAAGGTGGCTGGCTGACCATGCAGTGGTCCCACATTCCCACGCAGATTACTGGGGAGTGAGACAGATCACGCAACCCAGGGTCCTAGTGCCAGGCAATAAAGTCTCAAAACACCAACTGAAAACACTTGTGGGGGTTGAGGCGCAAGGAGAGACTCCCACCCTCACAGGAAAGTTCATTGGAGAAACCCACACTGTCCTAGAATGCACACAAGCCCACCCACACGAGAATCAGCATCAGAAAGGCCCAGTTTACTTGGGGGAAGTGGCAGAAGAGACTGAGGTGCAACAGAGAGAGGAGCAAAGTGCCATCTTTTTCCCTCCCTGACCCTGCCCCCACAAACAGTGTCACAACCCAGCCAACTGGGTCACCCAGCCCTGGTGAACACCTAAGGCTCCGCCCCTCACTAGTAACAGGTGCTAACAGACCAAAACATTATGGCTCAAGAAGAGTAGCTCAAAGCCCCAGAGCCAATACTTCTAAGTGACCAAGAGATAGCCAACCTATCAGTTGCACAGTTCAAAACAGTACTGATCAGGATGCTCACAGAACTGGTTGATTTTAGTCACAAATTAGAGGAACAAATGAAGGCTAAACTAATTGAAATGAAGAGAAATGCACAGGAAACCAATAGTGATGGAAAGGAAACTGGGACTCAAATCAAGGGAGTGGACCAGAAGGAAGAAAAAAAATGACCAAACAAAAAAAATGAAGAAACAAGAATTCAGAAAAAATGAGGAGAGGCTTAGGAACCTCCAGGACATCTTTAAATGTTCCAACATCCGAATTATAGGAGTACCAGAAGGGGAAGAGGAATAGCAACAAGTGGAAAACTTATTTGAACAAATAATAAAGGAGAACTTCCCCAATCTGGCAAAGGAAATAGACTTCCAGGAAATCCAGGAAGCTCAGAGAGTTCCAAACAAGTTGGACCCAAAGAGGAATACACCAAAGCACATGATAATTACATTAGCCAAGATAAAAATGAGAGAATCCTAGAAGCAGCAAGAGATAAGGAGACAGTAACCTACAAAGGAGTTCCCCTAAGACTGTCAACTGATTTCTCAAGAGAGACCTTACAGCCTGAAGGGTCTGGAAAGAAGTATTCCAAGTCATGAAATCCAAAGACCTACATCCAAGATTGCTCTGTCCAGCAAAGCTTTCATTTAGAATGAATGTAAGGGCAGATAAAGTGCTTCTCAGATAAGGTCAAATTCAAGGAGTTCATCATCATCAACCCCTTATTTTATGAAATGTTAGAGGGACTTATCTAAGAAAAAGAAGATAAAAAACATGTATACTAAAACAACATCAAACTCACAATTGCTAACAACTACACCTAAAACAAAAAGACACCAAGGAAACAACTAGAACAGGAACAGAACCATGGAAATGGAGATCATGTGGAGGGTTAGCAACAGGGAAGTGGGAGAAAGAGAGGGGGCAATGGTACAGAGAATAAGTAGCATAGATGGCAGGCAGAAAATAGACGGGGAGGGCAAGAATAGTATGGGAAATGTAGAAGCTAAAGAACTTATGAAAGGGGGAGATGTAGGAGGGAGAGGGTGTGCAGGATGGAGGGGAATGAAGTGGGGAAATGGGACAACTGTAATAACAATAAAATTTATTTAAAAAATGATTAACTATGTAAATGAAGTGGGGAAAGCAGTATAACAAATTTTTATCTGGACATTGTCTTATTCCTGAAGGGTATGCATTAAGTGAATGGTTTTTTCCCCTCATAATAAACAATGGTTGGGAATACCAGAGCTATTGTATGACTTAAAATGTTGAAGTACAGTTTTAACCAAGACATGGAATTCAGGATATCAGAGGATTTAATACATCTTCCACCAACTTCCTCATACATATGCCTTTATTATCTCTCTTCCAAAATATCCAGAGAATTGAAATTTCTTCTAACGTGGAAATACAAAACAGTGATTAATCTTAATTTGATACCTTTTCGCAATTACAAGTATAGTTTATTCTTGTTAAAGGACACATAATTTCTTAAGAAACTTCAATTTATCTAAATTTGAAAGTCATAGTAATATTTATGACTTTGCCATTAAAGCTTCAACAGACATGCTATTCTGTTCATATTTATCTATACTTATCCATGAAAGATTATCTTAAAATTGTTTGCTCAGCTTTGGAATCTTATATGACTGATTTTAATGTGTACTAGATATTTATATATGTAAATGTTTATATTTGCTATACTAAACATTTATGTCCATTAATATAATGTGTCAGGTACCAAATTCTCTGAGAATCAAGTTTTTAATGAACAAATTGGGTCTGAAAACATTAGTGTACCATACTATTAGTGTACCACAAAGGATGATCAGTCCCATGCATAAACAGTGTGCGTGCTAGACAAATCAGCTTCAAGACAATTCCCTATGGTACCTAACTCCCAGCCATATTTCTGTCCTTAGTTTTTTCCTATCCATAAAAATCTTGAAATGCCTGTGGAAGGATTGCCTCAAATCCCATGGAAGGATTTGAGGATATAACCAATATTTATGTCAATGACCATTGCCAGTAAACAAAGTGGAGAAACTTGCCTAAGGAAAGAGCTGTTCTTAAGTTGCCTGTGTTTAGATCCTTCATTAAGTAGTAGTGGAGATGCTAGCTAAATCACAGACCTGTAGGGTGAAGGCAGGGGGTAGAGGAGCTGAGACAACAACCTTTGTCTGGCCGTCTAGAGGGCGTGCTTTTCCAAGGCATAGCAGAGAAGGAATTCTCTCATGCAAAATTATCTCTCTCACATTTATTCTCAAATAAAGAGGTATCTGAAAATGAAGTGCCTATGGAACACATCTTTGTTGATTAATGGAAAAACTGTAATTAAGCTTTATCTGTTCAGGTAGAACTGGAATGTAGTCCAGTCTTCCTATCCTCCGTTCCCTTTTCTCTGCTAGAAATACCTTGTCTCTTATGAAATTGTAATATAATCATGTTGTGTGTTATTATCAATTTTTCTTTAATATTTTATTATTGGACATATTTTTGTATTTCAGTGGGAGAACTGAAGTGCAGTCAGTTCAGTATGGCAAAGAAAAGGCAAATAAAGACAGGGTCTTTGCAAGGTAAGCCACTTCTATTTCAGTGTTTATTTTTTAAAGAAATAATAAAATTACCAAAAATTCTTTTTACAGATATGATTATAGAATTATCACATAATCTTTCCTTAATTAAACAACAAATTATGTTGAGGGAATAATGAAGTGGTTTGTCTAGTTTATTCATTCATATTTTTTTACATGAGCTAGATTAACCCTGTGCCAAGCACTGTATCTCTGGCTAAGCTAAATCAAGCATTATATATTTTTTAAAGATTTTATTTGTTTGTTTGTTTATAGAGAGGGGAAGGGTCAGAGAAAGAGAGGGAGAGAAACATCAGTGTGTGGTTGCCTCTTGCACGCCCCTCACCAGGGACCTGGCCTACAACCCAGGCATGTGTCCCAACTGGGAATCGAACCAGCAACACTTTGGCTCACAGGCCTGCGTTCAATCCAATGAGCTACACCAGCTGGGCAGGCATTATATATTAATCTAGCATTTTGTTGTATGGTTTATTACCCTTTTCAAAACATTTTGAGAAGCATTATGATTTATTTTTATATTTTATCTAGCCATTTCAATATATATATTTTTAATCCTCATCCAAAGATACATTTATTGATTAGAGAGAGAAAGAAAGATCGATCGATCCATGGCTTCCTCTCCACACCCCTACTGGGAATCAAGGTGCAACCACCTGAGCAACCTGGACAAGGCTCCATATATTTTTAAATCATATTGTTAATAAGTAAGTCGCTCTTTAATTGGGTGCCATTTAGTTATCTCACTTTTTAAGGATCTGTTAATGGCCAATTTACTTTTAACAAGTGAAGTGACATCATCAAATTTATGTTTTAGAAAACAGTTTTATGAGCAAGAATAGACAATAAATTAGAAGTAAAGACTGAGTATGCAGAAACCAGGTTACTGTAGTAGTCCAAGTGAAATTAATGAAAGCCTGAACTAAAACATTGGCAATGAAAGGAAGAATAGAATCAAACTTGAGGAACATTTTTTAAGTAGAACTAACAGAAACCAATTAGAGATGTGTTAGCAACAGTAGTATCTGGAAAGACTCAGATTTAAGTGACATACAACAGATGGGATACAGGAGGGAGAATAAATTTGTAACGAAAGAAGGTGTTACATTGACACAGGTCTAGTTTGATATGCCTGAGCAACACCCTTAATAGGATTACCCAGTAGATGATTAAATATTCAGAATCAGAGCTCCAGAAGAGGGAGAGGGACCAAATCAGTGACTGCAAATTCTTGTTGAAGACCTACTCTGCTGAGCATTGTTTCAGGCCCTAGAATATAGTATATAACAAAACACATCTTACTCCCATGGAGTTTAAATTCTGATTGGTGCTACAGATGTCTAATGTAAGTAAAAGATTGAGCCTGTAAAGGCTATGGAAACTGGAGCCTCATGTTTCAGGAAGAGTAGGCCAATAATGGCCCAGAGTGAGCACAACAGGGGTAGAGGAGGTGTTTGAGAGGTAGGCAGCATCCAGAACCTGTATGATCCCATGCTGGAAATGGAAGGATTTTAGATTTTAAGTGGAAGCCAGTGAAGGCTGAAAGCATGGAAGGGATATAAACAGATTTGCATTTTAAATATCTAGTAGAGTAATAAACTGAAGTATTTACAAATATATGATTTTTAGGGTTTGCTTCAAAATAATTGGGGAGAGAGAGTTAGAGTAAGTGGTAGAGATGAAACAAGATTGACCATGATGATAATTGTGGCACCTGATTTCTGAATACATAGGGTTTATTAAACTATTCTCTCTACTTATGTTTATGTTTTAAATGTTCCATAATAAAAATGTTGGGGATTGGGAGGTCACTGTGGCTTCTGTGATGGAATCAACTGTATGGGGATATGAGTAGAAAGAGGTTGAACAATTAATCTATAATGACTAACATTTATTTTGTACTTACCAATGCCAGGCAATTTTTATATTAATTCATAATCCCTGTAATTCCATTATAAAGGAAAAAAACTGAGCACAGCAAGTTTTAATAATTATCCTGAGATTATATAAATAGTAAGGGACTTAGCCAAAATTTTAATCCAGGCACTTCAGGTTCTTAGCCATACTTTTAACTTCTATGGAATAGTTTTGCTGTTGTGCATGACTTAGATAAATGCTTGACTCCTTTCCCATCCAGGGATATGAGAGATGATCTCGTTTATTGTCTTTCTTTCCCACTAGAATGTAAGCTGTGTGAGGGCAGGGGTTTATTTTATTCTGTGCAATAGATACAGCTCCTATAAAAATATGTGGGATATGGTAGATGTTTTCTTTAAATGAACTGATGTGTTTTCAGTGAAAATGGCTTAATGAGAGTAATTTCTTATATTAAAAATTTTATGTAGTTGGTATCTACTGCCATTGGAGGCCTGAGAATTTTAATAAAGGAGAACTAGCAAATTCGCTTTTAATTTTACTTTCTCCATAGACATTCCTGCTTTGTGTTTGACATGAAAGGAATTTTTTTCTTTCATCCAAAAGTGCAAATTGCTTTCTCCTTTCTTTTCGTTAAGTGATAATTCATTATTTTTTTTAAATTCCAACAATGCCAGATCACACAATAATTATGACACCCCCCATTGGTCATTTTTTTTTAATTTGATATTTTGTGGTCAAGATTTTACCATGCATGTACTCGCAGAGATTTTATGTATGTATTTGTGTATTTTATTTGCTTTAAGAATTGTTTTATACTTTTGTTGGTTATATTTATAACATCATAGGCATTTTCTTAGATGTTGAAAAGTCTATAGTCATTTATAATGTCAGTAAATATTTAAACAGTTAAATTTTTTATCCTAAACTGTAGATACAAGTTTAGAATTTTTTACCCTGCAAATCCCTTGTTTCTGGAGTCCAAATCATTGCTAAGACTATCCAAGGCTTTGTGAGTACTATGCCCTGAATTCTTATAAAAGTAAACTTAAAGTAATATTATAAATTCCTTGGAGCAAGAACATTTGAAACAAAAAAAAATCATTAAAACCTGATTTGTATGTGTTTGAATAATAAAATTTACTTGCATTTTTAAACTTATTCCTGGCTTATCCTCATCTTATTTGTCTATGAGTAATCCATCCAGCAGGAATACCACCCATAAAAAGCACTTAATATAGATTAATTTAGCTGGTCAGAGCTATAGCATTGTTGCTGTGATAAGTTTACTTGAATTATAATGATGTAATTTATCTCAGCATTTGTTTTTTAAAGTTTTGATTTATATTTTTTATTTTTAGATTTGTGAGGGACATATTATATTAAATATAAATATTATTATAGTAGTGGCTTGGTTATTAAATATAAATATTGGTGTTATATTAGTGGCTATAATATAAAGGAGAAAAAAAGAAAGAACACAGAGATGCCTACTTTAATAAACATGGCTACTGAAATTATTCAAAATCCTCCCTTTTACAGTCTTAAATATGCTTAAATATGCTTGCTTAAATATGCTTTCCAGTTAGAAAGTACTAAGGACCTGTATACAAAGGTAAAGTGTACAGGGAAATGTTAATTTGAAATTGTTTTCCTTGGAATTACTCTTGAGAAAGAGTTTACTTCCCATCAACTTTGTTGTTTTAATTTAATAAGAGCTAGGACAAATACATTTTAAACACTCCTTTCAGACTTATTAAAATCAAAGTAAATGCTTTTTTATTCTTTTCTCTTAAGACCACACCATAACAAAATACTAAGACGTTATTCTTTTTCTTGCTTGATATTTATAAAATACTGAACATGATTTGTTAACTAGTTCTACTGTAGTATGATATCCTAATGTTTTAATATTTTAATCATATCAGATTTTGAGAAATATGCATATAGTTACACCTTTATCTTAGTTCTTCATTTTACATATGCATTGTTAAACTGTGAAATTGTTTAATAGGTGATTTCATAAAACTGATATGCATTAGTCAATAAATAGTAAAGCTAAAATTCTAATACCATAAGTCCCAAATAGCTATCCTATTTCTTTTGTCATGCCAGAATTGTCTGAATCCTCCTAGAAATAGTAAATTATCACCTGGACAAGGTTTTAATAGTACTGTTTTAGTGATCCTGCTAACTCTGAAAGATTAAGCTTTTCTGGGGTGGATTTTATAACATATCAGAATCTGGTTGGGATGATCTGATGTATATCTGTCTTAATACTCAAGTTATTTTAGCAATTATTAAATTAACTTGCTCTGTTAAAGTGTTAGTGAATTCTAGCGTTCTTGTCCACTTCATGGAATTTTAGTTGGCAATAAAAATAGAACAGATTTCTCCTTAAACTTTTCATGTAAGGTTTTCTTTAGCAATAATAAATGTTACTTACTTAATTTTTTATGTATCTACTCTTCGAATTGCTTTCACACTTTTTCAATTGTCATATATTTAAGAAGAAAGCAAAAGAATGTTCCCATGCAACAGAAAAATAAGGCGCCATGGTCAGAAAATAAATTTACCACATTGCAAACATACTGATGAAGTGTGGTATTTTTTTCTCTGAAATTTCCACACTCAACAGGAAACATAGACAGCAAGTTTGAGTGGGTGCGTCTCTGAGGTTAAAACTGTTAATAAAATCAAACACCTGAAATTTAGTTTTAAATGCAAAGCATTTACAACCATGTTTAGTGTATTAACAACAGCAAAGTGTTCTGATGCTTCATTCTAGGTGAGTATAACTGGATTTTTTCCTCCTTCACATCACATTTTTTCTGTCTTAGAAAATGAAAGTAGTTGATCTCCTGACTATAGTTGGTAGTGAGAATGAATAGTTTTATTAACATTAAGAGTTAGCATTAATAAAGAGCCACAAATGCTAAGGTTTCTTCTAAAATTTTGTACTTTGTTTTAAACACCTAACACATGAGATAATATACTTTTCTTTTTTATTGTAACTGAAAGGAATATTTGCATTGCACTATGAAAGTATTAGACTAAATGATGTCTTGAGTTATGTTCAAATTAGAAAATTCTAAAATTTAAACTCATGATAACTGGAAATGTTCATGCTTTAATAACTTTAAATTTACTTATGCAGAATGAAATCTGAGTCAACATCCTTTTTTAAATCAATAACATTTACATCTCCTAGCAATGTTAAATGTTCTTAAATTAAGATGTCATTTGGCCAAACTAAAAAGGCTTTTGGCTATAAATATATGAACTGATAGGCACTTGTGTGGTTTGGATTAATAAGTAATTTAAGTTACTTGTGGGTTAGTAAAATTAATGGACTGAATCACTCACTGAAAACTTAGATACTTGTATATTATAAAATTTGGGAGGTGGGGAAGGACCTTAATATTACATATTGTACTACTAATGTAGACATTTAGATGTAGAAACTCAAGTTATTTGTTTAATTGGAAGGTCAACACTAGAATTTAGGGTACCTATCCATCATTATTTTAATGCTTCCTAATTTATAAATAAATTTTATTGCATATTCTTCATAATTGTTACTATGCTCTTTGGTCCAGTCTTTTTCTATGTTCTTCAGTGAATTTATTACTCAAATATAAAACTGTCAGTTTACAATATGACTTATGTGTTTTATATAAGTAGCTTAATTTATAACATTAGCCTCCTTATTAAATAGATGTCATATGTTTTCCATGAATTTTGGCCACTTTCTGATTTTACATGTAAAAAACACTTTCATTGTTAACTTGCCTAAAATTCTAAGGGTATTTAATCTCTGCATAGATCAGTATCTTCTCTGAAAAGGTCACTTAGTGCTCTCATCTTTATCACTATTATAGATGACAATACGTAAATAAATAGCAAAACATATTCTTTTACTCCCCTCCATAGAACAGAATAGTTAACCTTCCAAATGTGTTTTTTAAAAAGAAAAAGAAAAGGAAAATATCCACTTGCCTACTACAAATAAAAAGAAAAATATTACAAATAAAATATAGTATATATGATTATCATTTTGTCCTATTCTCACTGAGGCAGAGGCATAGGGTTTAGATTTAAGGACATTCAGGAGATAATACACTAGGAATTAATACATCCGAGATAAGGTAGAGTTACAGAGATTCCGGAATAGGAATAGACAATATCTTCAATATTGACAATATTCGAGAAAACTTTTGGTAGCCATCTGTTCCCTTGTGTTTTTCTTTCTCAATTTTTTATTTCTTCTCTTTTTCTCTTTCCCATTCTCCTACTTTGTCTAGCTTATCTTTTCTTCCTTCATGTAAAACAGATTTACTTTCTTAGGGAATTATTTGGTAAATAGCCTCTTAGAGGCTATTAGTGAATGCACTAATTTCTTATAAGTAAACTCTTTACATTTACTCATTTAGAATATAATGTATTAATACAAATTCTAAGATTTGGTCCCTAGCTTTGGTGTATAAAATTAAAATTTTTACATGTTAAATTATTTCTTTAGGTCCCCAAGTAAGCCCTTGGCACAGAAATTAATGGATTGGGAAGTAGTAAGCAAAAATTCAGTATCTGATGACAGGTTAGAAACACAGAGCCTTCCATCACGATCTCCACCTGGAACTCCTAATCAGTAAGTAGACTCACATCAGGTGTACACTTGGCTCGTTTCTAAATTTCTTGTATATGTTTATTGTTTGAAGATCAAACTACATAAATCTTTTTAATTTAAATCTTTGGTTAGTTACAATTTTTGTTGCTCCAGATCGTTGTTTTTTCTTAGCTCTCCTCTGAGCCTACAGCTCATTGCATAAGTGGCATGGAAAAGCTTTAGCAAATGAGTAGTAGAAAAAACATTCAGGGAAGATGCTCACTTTCTTTCACAGTTGACTTTCAAAGTAAGAGTCCCTAGCCAATAAATCAAGATTTGTTACTAGAGTTAAAATCTAGGAATATGGTTGTTGTTGACATAACCCTTTTCCATGTGGATCTCCAACAGAATTTCTAAAAGAGCATATATTTTCTGAAAATTCTTAAGTGATTATGATTCTCTTACTTAAGTTCCTACCCCAACGACTGCTCTGCCATTTTCTGTGGTCTAGTAAAACAGATTTCAAACGTTAGTTCCCACAAGCTTAGCTGTAGCTGTGTTAACAAGCAGTGTGTTATTCAGCACTTATTCTATATGTACTTCACTCTAGGATTTCTCACAAAAGCTGTGCACTTTGGTATAGATAATAATAAGATCCATTTGTACTAGCCAAAGATGTTAATTTTATGTTTTCAAATGTATTGTTAATATGTACATAATTAATCTGATAATTAACAAATGTAAGTCAGCATATTGTCAGACCTTGTTAACCCATAAATTGGTATAGAAATATTTGAATTTTGGTATGGAATACAATATTTGAAGGAGTCTTTTTAAAAAATAGTTTATACACATTAATGTCCAATAAATGAGCACTAAATTGAAGTTGTATTCTGATGGGTGTTTGTCAGCCAGAGAATAAATTTCTGCCATATTGGAAGTAAAGTATACATAAAAAGTTTGATTCACAGAAGGATACCTAATACCTTGATGTCTTCCTTACTACTAGAAAAAAATAGACTAAAAAGTTTCTGTCTTGTTAACTGCATGTTGCTAAATCATCTTTCTTTAAGAGACTGCCTGTATTCAAGGACTGATTAACTTGTTTAAAGAAAATCCAGAAATTTCTTTTTCTGGTCCCTTTCTAGCCAGCCATTTTTCCATTTGTTACCAGGAACAAGAATTTAAACCAGATGATTGAATTAACTAATTAGTAGTAGCTCTGATTAATGAAACAGTTAGTTATCATCTGAAAAAATTGTTTATTTCTAAATTTTATTTTTATTTTTTTTTTAAATATTTTTTCATTTTTTAAATTTTTATTTATCTTTAGAGGGGAAGGGAAGGAGAGAGGGAGAGAAACATCAATGTATGGTTGCCTTTTGTGCGTCCCCTGCTGGGAACTGGCCTGCAGGGAACTGGCCTGCAACCCTGGTATGTGCCCTGACTGGGATTCGAACTGCGATTGTCTGGTTCGCAGGCCCGCGCTCAATCCACTGAGCTACACCAGCCAGGGTCTATTTCTAAATTTTAAAGAGACAGTATATTGTAGTGATTAAGAGCATGGCCCTTGGAGTCACAGTGCATTAAAACTTTCAGCAATTTGTGCCATTTTCTTTTTTTTAATGAGGAAATTGTATCTTTTTTATTTTTATTTATTTTTAGAGAGAGGAGAAGGGAAGGAGGGAAGGAAAGAAACATCAATGTGTGGTTGCCTCTTGAGTGCCCCCTACTGGGAGCCTGACCTGGCACACAACCCAGGCATGTGCCCTGACTGGAAATGGAGGCAATGACCTCTTTGTTGCCTCACAGGCTGGCCCTCAATCCACTGAGCCACACCCACCAGGGCTCTTTGTCCTATTTTCTTTATCTACAAAATTGTATTTATAATAATAGTGTCTTAATACTATGAGGTTATATCTGTAAGATGCTTTGAACAATGCCTGGCACATAATGCTCAAATGTTAATTAGCATAATTAATAATAGTAATAAAATTAATTCATATGTCTCACTTATGAGGATGGAACTATGTTATTCAGTATTAGAAATTAAAGAAAGTCCTATAAATTAAAACATTTATAAGGATTAAAAAAGAGTATCATGCCAAGGGAAATAAGTCAGGAAAAGCTAAAATTCATAGGATTTTACTCATATATGAGATATAAAATTGAAACTCATAGACACAAACAATATAGTGGTTATCAGAGGGAAGGGGTAGAGGGTAATAAAGGGAAATGGGGCCAAAAACATGATGACAAGACAATATGACTGTGGATGGTGGGCACACAATGCAATGTACAGATCATGGATCATAGAAATGCATACTGAATTGATTCCTCTTCTGCTTCCCCTAAAAGATCAGAGTACCCCATTGCTGTATTGCTAAGCTATAGAACTGTTTCTCCTGTGTAGGTATAAAACAAAAGTGTTTGAGGTATTCAGGGAACCCACCCAATGTTATATTGGCATTTATCGGAAAGGGCTGGGATCATATGTGTTTATATGTTCTGTAAAGTATTTGACCTACTGGTTCTCAATCAAATTTTATTAGGACTATAAAAAAATATATGTGTACACAAAACCTATATGATCTTATTAGCCAATGTCACCCCAATAAATTTAATTTAAAAAAGAATTCAGATCAGTAGATATTTATCAATCAATTATTCTACCCCTTTATTATATTAATGCTGATTAAGACACAATGTTGTAGTAACTAAAACCTAGAAACATTAAGGTTGGTAGAGGTAATAGATGACTGAATAGGTAAAATCCTTGTGGCAGATGGTTGACTATAGCTCAAATTTTGATTTCCTGTTGAGTGTTCCTTCTGCTTATATCACACTATTATTGTCAGAGACTCTGTGTAGTTGATGGTGGTTAGTCTTAGAAATAAACAACCACTTTTTGATGCAATCATGTAAATAAGACAATCTTAAAAATTGAATTAAAGCACATTTTTACTTGACTTTCTTCCTCTTTGCATAGTCGAAATTCTGCATTCACACAAGAGGGAACCCGGTTACGACCATCTTCAGTTGGTCATTTGGTAGACCATGTGGTTCACACTTCCCCAAGTGAAGTATTTGTGAATCACAGATCTCCATCTTCAACGCAAGCTAATAGCATCATTTTGGAATCGTCACCGTAAGAACCTTTTCCATTTAAGTTTTTTCTTCTAAGTACTAATACCCCAAATTGTTTTATTTGAAATACTCTGGGAAATTAGAGTATTTGATACAAGATTAATTTTTGCCATGTTTTAAAAGTTTATATATTTGTTAATCTGCTTATTTGTCCCTGAGAATCCTTGGTGCTCCCCCTACCAAAAAGACATCAATGTTCTTATTTCTGTGACTCAATATGTTCTTGAACTTTTAGTGGATACACTTAAATATTTCTGTAGATAATGTTTCATTGTGGTCAATCAGTAAGGTAGTGAAGAGTAGAGGGGGTTTTTTTAAATATTTTTCAGGAGGGGACCCATAAAAGGACTAGACAGTGTTGGAAATGTTATATAGCAAGACTACCATCATACTGAAAAAAGTTATAGAAAGCATGAACACCCTATTTCTAAAATTCTTTCCTGTCTCATATTATATGCTGAAACACAAATTAAACTTCATAATTCAGTATTTATATCTTAGCACTTTAATGTTCAAAATGCTTTATTTCTCATGTTGATATCTAGTGTCTAGATTTATCGGCTTACATAATGCAGCTCATATGCAAGTAAAAATGCAGTGCAAGAATTAGAAAAAAGTATATTATCTTATACTTTATAAGATAAACATAGGTAAGAAGAGTCATTAGTTGAGGAGAAAGGGGTATAAGATATAGTGCATATGATCAAGGTTAAACAAAAGGTGGATGGAAAAGTAGATAGAATCATCAGAAAAGCAGTTATTATAGGTGCTCTAGAAAAATGTCAGTATATCTTAGAGATCCATACTGAAAACAGTATTTTCAATCCATGGGGGAGTCTACAGATATGAAAGGCATTGCTCTTACACTGTTTTTCGTAAGGGACTTTACTATTTGTGAATTTTGGTATTCATAGGAGTCCTAGAACAATTCCCCTGCAGATACCAAGAGACAGCTATACTTTTGGGGGAGTCAGAAGTTATATGTGGATTTTCAACTGTGTAGGGGTCAGTGCCCTAACCCCTCCACATTGCTCAAGGGTCAGCTATATATTCCCATCTTCCCCCTTCTCTTTTTAAGCATCCAAAAATTAACAAAGATAGTAATTGGTCCACAAAATTTTTTGATCTGAGTAAAATTTGAACACTGTTTTGAGCCCTGGTTCCCATTCCCTCTTTGGATTATTTTAGGCAAATTGTTGGTTTTAAATATGTTAAAAGTCATTGAATTAGAAATATATTAATAATTAAAGTAAACATGGATGCTGTTAGAGCCCCAGTTTCTATTGATCTTACATTCTGTTCATTTAAATATAAGTAGTTTCTATTAGAATATAGAGTATAACAGTATTACCACTTATAACCAAAATGGAATGATAGAATACAGGTCTGCCTATATTCTGTTGAAGCTTCAGATACTGGTAGGTAAGAGAGTTACTTAGCTTTTGTCTATTGTATAAATTGGCTTTTTATTTGAAACATTTTATTTGAAGAAAAGAGTTCACTGCTACAAAAAGTTTGGAAACTGGTTTAAAATAACTTTACTTATAAAACTGAAACTCATAAACAGATAACAGTATGGCAATTACCAGAAGGAAGAAGGTGGAGGGTCATAAAGGGTAAAATACACCAAATATATGGTGGCAGAAGATGATTTGACTTTTGATGGTGGGCATACAATGCAATGTACAGATCAAGTATCATAGAAATGTACACCTGAAACCTATATGATCTTATAAACCAATATCACTAGAGCTAATTTAATTTTTAAAATTCTTTAAATAAAATAACTTTGCTCCTGCTTTTTGCAGTTGTTTCCTTTGAGATACAACTATAACACAGAGTTAAGAGCACAGGCTCTGAACTCAGACTGGTTTTGAAACTTGGTTACACCAATTGACTTGGTGACCTTGAGTGAATTATTTTACTTCTGTAAGCCTCAATTTCCTCTACTGTAAAAACAGGATGATAATATCCATCTCATAGAATTGCTGTGAACATTTAATGAGATGCATAGTTCAGCAAAGAGAAAATGCTTAGTAGATATTAACTATAATAGCTATATAACTTTTCAGTTAATTTTTAGGAGGATTTATACTGGCACTTATAAGTATTTATCAACCATTCATCTGTCTGCATGTTTGAACTATGGGGTGTCTGATGGAACACAATGAGAAATTCCCCAAATCTCTACTTTGTCCTTAGGTCCCTAATCATGAGAAACTATGCAGACTTCATAATCCTCTACTGTTTAATCCATTTCCCTGAGTCATTTTTTTCCTGGCCTGTCTCATTCTAGTCTTACCTAATGAGTCACCACAGCTTTGTTTATATTTCAGTTTGTTAACTTAGTCTTCAAAGATGTGACTTCCCTCTGCCCTTCTGAACTACTGGCACAGATAACTTCATCACCAGACTCCACTTAACCCAATTTCCATGCTAATCTTATAGACCTGCTAATAGTACTTGGCTGCCTTAGGACAAGTAAATAAAAAAAACCCAAAGAGGGTATAGGTAAAAGTATCGAGCTGTAGGAACTCAGAGGATGTACCATTTTATATGTTATACTTGTGATGAGACTAATTGCAGGTCCCCAGGCAGCTCTAGCTGTGTTGAACTTACCTACCCTTTGTCTCTGGCAAAAGTCTCCATTACTTGCATTTGGCAGCTAAGATCAGGGACTTGGAATTTGGCTGAAACCCAGAATCTCATGTCTTGGACCTCAATTCTGGAATAGATTCCTATAAATACAATAATGGGGTATTTCAACTGTATTCTTATATTAATTACATCCCTGAGAGTCTATATACACACTTTTTTAATCACATTGAGCATTACATTGCAATTTGTCTGAAATGGTGTTTTAGTTTGAAATAGTCTTAATGCCATTGTAAATTAGCCAAAGTAGTGAGAAGCCTGAATTTTGAACCAGAATTTTATCTGTATCTTTTTAAACGATTTTATTTATTTATTTTTAAACAGAAGGTTGTGGTTTCTATTTCTCTAGACTTGTCCAAAATGCCTGATAGTGGATGCTAGCTTCTCATTAAGTTATCCATCCCTTCTTTCAGGTTACCAACTATTATTTCTGATGAGACTTACAGATTGAAATATGTGGAGTCCACAGACTTCTGGTTTTTGTGAAGTGTTGGAGGCTTTTAATCAACAGCTTTTTAGAAATGTCACATCTTTGAGGCTCTGCCAAGGGGTGTCCATTTTTATCTCTTGTGGCAGGGCATGGTTGAGATTCATGTCTGTATTGAAATCCATGTAAAAACATTTTCCTGGACCCTCAGCATTTGATTGTATTGAATCTTAGAGGCATGGGTTCTTGGCATTTGAAACTAATGGAATAAAAATGAGTATGCTTGGTATCTGGAATCCCCGGCCATCAAAGTAGGCCTCAAAGAAGCTTTTGCTAAAAAGGAGAGATTTGTTCTCTGAAGCAGTCTTAATAGGCTTATCAGAATTTAGAGCATTTTATGTTCTGCAGACTACTGTGTACAAAAATAGGTTGTGTGGGCATTCTTGTTTAATCCTTATTAAATGATTATATTTTATACTAGCTTTTAAAATTTCAGAAGGACTATATTCTCATTAGGAGAAGCCTCCCTGGAGGACCATCAAGTTACACCATTTATTATTAATCCTAGCTGACTTCCTTGGCACTGATCACATTTTCAGCTCACTACCAGCATCTACCAGGTATCTAGCAGTGAGCCTCTAAATAAGTTCACAGCTTCTCTACCAAGTGAGAGCATATGTGTCTATGGGCCACTATGGCAGTAATCTTTTTATTAGTTATCTTGAGCTAAATTATGCTATGGTGGCATATCACCCCAATTTACAGTTACTTACAACAGAGGTTATTTCTTTCTTACATTATATATAAATCAGGAATCAGCTGTGGATTGACTGCATGTCATGTCCATTCCAGGACCCAGACTGACAGCAGCCCTTTTTTGGGACATGGCTGATCATGGCTAAGGAAAGAGAGAAGAATAATGATTCCAGAGCTATTTCTTAGAGCTTCCTTTTTTAAAAGTAGAAGCATATTACTTAGACTCTCATTTTATTGTCTATTTTACTGGCCAGGCCTAATGTCAAATGGAAAGGGGTAGAGAAGAATAATTTTTGAACAGGTTCCCCCAAAGGATCTGCCACCTCAGAGATAAATAATAACCCAAGTGATGGTCAGTGCTCTTCTCAAGAACCATTTTCCCGTCCCCTGTTCTCCTCAACTTCACAACTTCATGGATGTGTGCCTTCTAGCATACAGGTGGAACCACTGGTTCTGTTCTCCATTCTGGTCTTTGTGAAAAACCCACAACTAATGTTAACATACACTGTGCTTATTTGGTTATTTATTTGGTTTGGTTTAGTTTAGTTTTCAATTACAATTTACATCCAATATTATTTTCTATTAGTTCAGGTGTACAGCATAGTAGTTAGACAAATATATTTTAGAAAGTACTCTCTCCAATACTTTCAGTACCTACCTGATATAATACATAGTTATTACAGTATTATTGACTATATTCCTTATGCTGTACTTTACATCCTCATGACTCTTTTGTAACTACCAATTTGTACTCCTTAATCCATTCAACTTTTTCACCCAGTCTTCCAACCCCTCTTCTCTCTGGCAACCATTAATCTATTCTCTGTTCTTAAAAGTTATGATTTTTACCTTGAAACTTCCCTATTACACCTAGCTCTTTTTATCAATACCTGCTGTCATAGTTTCAGGCTTATGTTTCCTAATGTTAGTTTGGATTTTTCTTTCTCACTTTAAATCATATGCTCTGATAATGTCTCGTTCAGTTTTATCTATTCATTGATCTCAGCATTCTTACTCAGATTCTAATCCTTGTTATAGCATTGAGTTCATTACTTTCATGAATAATGTCTTATTTTTAAATAAACCAGGCCAATCACAACTTCTCTTGACTCCCTGTTGTTTTATGTGTGAATGGCTCAAATCTCAGGTCTGATTTCTCTTTGCCTGCCTTGTTCCCCGTCTACCCATATGACTCCACTGAAAACCTTTAAAACATTTTTTGGAAAGGTGTGTATACTGTTAGAGTAGATTAATAAATATCTTCATATGGATACTCTTAAAGTATATTTTACTATATGTATAATTATTTACAGATTTCATAAAGAAATTGGATTTGCTACTTAAACCTTAAATTTAGAAAATATTTCATTAAACAGTGGCATTTGCAAATCAATATGGTATTAAATGCTTGTCTCTTACTATACATTGTAAATGTCTGAGTTGCCTGACTTTAGCTTTTAAAATAGCAATCCCATAAGATAACTTCTAAAATATTTATTCTTTTCCTTTTATTCTGTCTAGATCACAAGAGGCCCCTGGAGATGGGCATCCTCCAGCTTTACCACCCAAACAATCAAAGAAAAACAGTTGGAACCAAATTCCTTATTCACATTCTCAACAAGATCTAGAAAACCATATTAATGAAGCATTTGATATTCCATCTTCCCCTGAAAAATCTACTGTAAGTAGCTTCATATATTATCACATTTCTTTGAAACTTTTAAACCATAAATGAATTTTTTGTACAGTGGCATGTTTTATCTGTAAATTATATTGTACTATTTTCTCTTTTTCATCATATGTTTGCACATTAATTATACCATGATATAACTTAACTGGAATTTCCTTTTATTATCATTTATAAAATTGCACATTTCTTTAGAAGTAAATTATTAACAAATTTATGTTGAGTTCAGTCTTATAGAACACATTTCTAGAACAAATACTAATAATCTATTAAATGCCATTAACTTCATTATAGTCCACTGAGTGCAGAGACTGTCATTTTCATCAGCCTTTTGAAACAGTATAGGTCTCTGTTCTACAAACTATATTTATGAATTACATTGGCACTCTGCCTTAGAAAACATACTTTTACCACAACAAATGGTAAATTGTTATAATCACCTCATTTACAATTTTTTTTGCTTTTTTTAGATAGAGGTAAATAAACCAAAAGTGAGATTGTCAATAAAGTTTAAGGATACATTGTGTTCATAAAGAAAGATAAGGTCAGACAAAATATGCATGTTTTTGGAAACTTACAGGAACATCAGGGAATAAAATAAGATTCAGGGAGAGGAGAGTCCACAGCAAGTATTGACAGTGCCAGAACTTTCTGGTGGCCATTATACATGTAGTAGCCCTTTCATCTTTTCACCTGTGACCCTCCCACATTAAAGTTAAAAAGCAAGAGGTAGCCACTCTATTCTCCCACAATTACTGCTCCACCACCATAGGCACATCAAAAAGAGAGCAGAATCTTTACCACAAACGGCAACTTTAGTGTTTTCTCTGTGGTGATTGTTTTATTTCGTTCATTTATTCATGGGTTAATAGTTATTGAGGTTTTTCTGTGTGCTAAGGTACTTTGGTGGAAAGTGGGACTACTGAGATAAATGAGGCATGGTCCCTGCTGTTAAATAATCTGTATAGCCCTGGCCAGTGTGGCTCAGTGGGTTGGGCATAGTCCTTCAAACCAAAAGGTCATGGCTTCCATTCCTGATCAGGGCACATGCCTACATTGTAGGTTGTCCCCAGTCAGGGCAGGTGCAAGATCAGTGTTTCTCCCTCTCTCTTTCTTCCTCCCTTCCCCTCTCTCTGGTATCAATATAAAAAAGAAAGGGAAGGGAAGGGGAGAGGGAGGGAAGGGAAGGGAGGGAAGGCAGAGGAAAAATGATCTATAGTACAGTTTGTTTTTCATTCATGTAAAAAATTTTTGAGTACCTGCTATTGCCATGATTGTTCTTGGCTTTGGGGATTTAGTGGAATAAAATAGAAAAAACAAACCTCTCCCTACAAGGAACTTACATTCTGGGGAAAGAGCGAGATAAACAATAAACAAGGTAAATAATTTAAGTATATAGCATGTTGGGTGGTACAGCAAGGGATAAATGTAGTGATCAGCCATATAGATAGACTGAGGAAATAATAGGTACAAAGATAGGAGTATGGCTGACACAGTCAAGGAACCCCAAGGGAGTCAGTGCAGCTCGAGCAAAATGAGCAGATGAGGAGGAGAGAAGTATTGGAAAGGGTCAGATCCTAAAAGCTTTGTCCTACAAAGACTGTTTTAACCCTGAGTGAGATAGGAAGCAAATACGAATCTGGGGAGAGAAGTAACATAGTGTCACTTCTATTTTGACAGTATCACTGTGGCTATTCTATTTAATAGACTGAGAGCAGAGTAGTAGAGATACTTATGATGTATTGAAATATTCCAAACAAGCAATGGTGATTTCCCAGGGGTGGCTAGGGAAGGAATAAGACATGTCTTTATTCTAGGTATATTTTTAGAGTAAAGCTGACATAATATGATAATAAATAAGATGAGGAGTGCTAGAGAAGAAATCAAGGATAACAGCAAGGTTTTTGCCCTGAACCACTAGAGGGGTGAAGTTGCCATTTGCTAAGATGTGAAAGGCTACAGATAGAGCAGGTATGGAAGATGTGAAAGGCTTACAGGTAGAGGGTATGGGTAGAAAATCAGGAGCTCAGCTTGGGACATGTTAAGTTGGAAATGTATGTTAGAAATCCATTTAAAGATACAACCCTGGAGTTGAAGGGAGAGGACCAAACTAGAATTATGACTGAGAGCTAACTGATGGCATATAGACAGTACCATATGTTAAACCACGACATAGGAAGAAATCACCAAGGAAATGTGTGTAGATTTCTAAATAGGAGCTTCTAGAAATTGAGCCTTTAGTCCTCTAAATTGTAAACATGAGGGAGAGGAAAGAACCAGCAACTGAGACTTAGGAGATACAGATAAAAAGGTAGCCAACTGACTGATGGGAAGAAAGTCACAGAGAAAATAACCAACTTTGTCAAATGCTACTAGTGAGTCAAGTAAGATGCAGACTGAAAATTGAACACTGGAGCAATGTGAAAACCTTTGGTGACCATAATTGGAAAACTTTTGATGGAGTGTAGGGGTGAAAACCCCAACTCCAGGAGGATAGTAGGAAAGGGACAGGAAATGTGAACAACTCTTTCAAGAAGTTTAGCAGCAAGAGGAAGGAGAGAAATGGGTCAGTAGTGGGATGGGGAAATGGAGTCCAGACAAGAGATGTATGTGTGTTTGTTTTAATGGGAGAAATAAGAGTGTTTCCCAGAGAAGGGGGAAATGGATAATGCAGGAGAATAGAGAATTGCTATAGCAATACTCTTGAATATGAAAGAGGGGATGCTCAGAGAGTGCCAAAGAAGTTGGACCCAAGGAAGAACATACCAAGGCACATCATAATTACATTAGCCAAGATTCAAATGAAGGAGAGAATCCTAGAAGCAGCAAGAGATAAGGGGACAGTCACCTACAAAGGAGTGCCCATCAGACTGTCAGCTGATTTCTCAAAAGAGACCTTACAGGCAAGAAGGGGCTGGAAAGAGGTATTCCAAGTCATGAAATCGAAAGACCTACAACCAAGATTGATCTATCCAGCAAAGCTTTCATTTAGAATGAATGTAAGGGCAGATAAAGTGCTTCTCAGATAAGGTCAAATTCAAGGAGTTCATCATCACCAAGCCCTTATTATATGAAATGTTAAAAGGACTTATCTAAGAAAAAGAAGATAAAAAAGATGAACAGTGAAAGGACAGCAAACTCACAGTTATTAACAACCACACCTAAAACCAAAGCAAACTAAGAGGACAGCTAGATCAGGAGCAGAACCATAGACATGAAGATCTCCAGGAGGGTTAGCAACAGGGGAGTGGGAGGAGGAGCGGGGGAAGAAGATATAGAGAATAAGTAGCATAGCCGGTAGGTAGAAAATAGATGGGGGGGAGGGCAAGAATAGTATGGGAAATATAGAATCTAAAGAACTTGTGACACATGGACATGAACTAAAGAGGGGGAGGGGGTATTCAGGGTGGAGGGGAATGAAGGGGAGGGAATGGGACAACTGTAATGGCATAATCAATAAAACATTTAAAAAGAAGAAAGAAGACAATTTGAAGGCAATATAGGTTGTATAATTAGAAATGATCATGGGGAATTCACAAGTGTATTAAAATAACTTGTCCATCTGTGGAGTTAAGGAAAGCCTTCCCAGAAGTAATCATCTCTGAGGTGTATCTTGAGGGATAAATAAGAATTAGCGAGATACCCTCAAAGAGCAGGCATAAGACATGATAAGTGAATGAATGCAGTAACAACCATATATTACATAACTTTATATATGTGAAATGTCTAGAATAATCAAATCTATAAAAACAATATAGATTTGTGGTTCAGTAGACTTAGGAAATGGGCAAGGGGTTGGGGAGCGACTGCTGATAGATGCAGGATTTCTTCTGGGAGTGCTGAAAATATTCTTTTTTTAAATTTTAATATATTTTATTGATTTTTTCTATTACAGTTGTTCCTTTTTTTTCCTCCCTTTTATTCCCCTTCACTCTGCATTTCCCCTCCCACTAGCATTTCCCCACCTTCATTCATGTTCATGGGTCATATATACAAGTTCTTTGACTTCTCCATTTCCCATACTATTAACCTCCCGCTGTCTGTTTTGTACCTACTATGTATGTTTCCTATTTCCCATACCTTTCCCCTCATTTCCCCCCTCCCCTTTCCTGCTGATAACCCTCCACGTGATCTCCATTTCTCTGATTCTATTCCTGTTCTCGTTGTTTGCTTAATTCATTTTTGTTTTTGTTTTAGGTGTGGTTGTTAATAACTGTGAGTTTGTTGTCCTTTTGTTCATATTTTTTATCATCTTCTTTTTCTTAAATAAGTCCTTTTAACATTCCATATAATAAGGGCTTGGTGATGATGAACTCCTTTAACTTGATCTTATCTGAGAAGCACTTTATCTGCCTTCCATTCTAAATGATAGCTTTGCTAAATAGAGTAATCTTGGATGTAGGTCCTTGCCTTTCATGACTTGGAATACTTCTTTCCGGCCCCTTCTTGCCTGCAAGATTTCTTTTGAGAAATCAGCAGAGAATGTTATAGGAACTCCTTCATAGGTAACTGTCCCCTTTCCTCTTGCTACTTTTATTTAAAATTCTCTCCTTGTCTTTAATCTTAGGTAATGTTCTTATGATGTGCTTTGGTGCATGCTTCCTTGGATCCAAACTTCTTTGGGACTCTGAGCTTCCTGGGCTTCCTGGAAGTCTATTTCCTTCGCCAGATTGGGGAAGTTCTTCATTATATTTTCAGATATGTTTTCAGTTTCTTGCTCTTCCTCTTCTCCTTCTGGCACCCCTGTGACTCAGATGTTGGGACATTTAAGTGGTCCCTGAGGTTCCTGAGCTTCTCCTCATTTTCTTGAATTCTTGTTTCTTCCTTCTATTCTGTTTGAATATTTATTTCTTCCTTTTGTTACCAACTATTGACTTGAGTTCCAGTTTCCTTCCCTTCACTGTTGGTTCTCTGTACATTTTCCTTTATTTCACTTTTCATAGCCTTCACTTTTTTCCCTATTTTGCAACCATACTCAACCATGTCTCTGAGCAGCCTGATTACCTGTGTTTTGAACTGTGTATCTGATAGTTTGGCTGTCTTTTCATCACTTAGTTTTATTTGTTCTGGAGCTTTGATCTGTTCTTTCATTTGGGCCATATATTTTTTTTGTCTCAGCATGCCTGTTATGTAGTAAGGGGTGGAGCCTTAGGTATTCACCAGGGTGGGGCAACCCAGTTGACTTTGGTGTGGTGCTGTATGCGGGGGAGGGGTCCGAGAGGGATCAGATCTGCTTGCTTAGCTCTCCAAGGGCTTTCAGTCACTTCCTCCACTACCCACAAGCAAATTGGGCCCTTCTGGTGCTGATTCCTAGGTGGGTGGGTTTGTGTACATTGTATCTCCAGTGAACTCCTGTGAGGCTGGGAGTTTCTACTGCTGCCTCAACCCCTACAAGTTTTTTCACTCAGAGGTTTGAGGCTGTATTTCCCCACACTGGATCACTGGGTTGCATGGTCTGTCTTGCTGCCCAGTTGTGCCTCCCAGTTTATCTGCACACAAATGTGGGACCACCTGCTGTGTCAGATGCCACCTTGCTGGCTCTGGTCCTCCAGCAGCCGCCTTGCCACGAATCTTCTCCACTCGGCTGCCCATCTTCGCCCCTCCTGCCAGTTGGGATGAATGTTTCTTCTGTAACTCCTCAGTTGTCTTGGATTTCATAGAGTTCGATTTTGTGGCAATTATGGTTATTTTTTGTTTTTTTTAATTTGTTGTCTTTTTTTTTTTGGTTGTGCAAGGAGGCAATGTGTATCTACCTACACCTCCATCTTGGCTAGGTTCGAAAATATTCTAAAATTAAATAATAGCGATGTTTGTATGATTCTTTCACTACAGTAAAAATGATTGAAGTATGCACCTTGATTGGGTAAAGTATATGGTATGTAAATTATATCCCAGTAAAGCTGTTTCTAGAAAGCTGAGGGAGTAACAGAAATTCAGTAATACTTATGAACATTTACTACATATAAAGCTATAAGCCAGGTTATAGAGATATTGTGATTAATGAGTTAAAATTAATTGGCAAAGCTTCTGTTCCTCTTGGCACTTACAATCTAGCATGCAGTGACATAGAGGCATGAGAAAATATATCTAATTGTGGTACGTAACATGCCATTTATTAAGTCCTGTTATTTAAAATTTACTTTTCTGAGTTAACATTTTAATTTAAATTATGGTTCTTTATATACTATTTAATATCAGCATACAAAAAAAGCATACTTCATGTGTATACAAAGGATAGATTATAAATGAAGGAAATTACAAGCTATTTATTTTTGTATTTTTAAGCCTAATGGTGGTATTCCACATGATAATCTTGTTCTAATCAGAATGAAGCCTGATGAAAATGGAAGATTTGGATTCAATGTAAAGGTAATCTAAATTTTATATTGTAATCAATTTATAAATTAAGATGTGTCTGTTTGCTAATACTTGACTCATATTTGATTTGCTCTGGGTTTAAGGGAGGATATGATCAGAAGATGCCTGTGATTGTGTCCCGAGTAGCCCCAGGAACACCTGTGAGTTATCTAAATCTTACAAGTAAATCCTATTTTCAAGAAAGTATACTTATTTGATTTTTATTAGTTTAATAAGTAAAGGAAATAATAAAATCATTTCTTTTAATATGTCAGGTATTTAATGCTGTTGGCCGAATATTTAAATTGTTAAAAAGTTAGTTTTTATTTATTCTGTCTATAAGAGTTTTTAAAATCCTTGTCTTTACAAAGAAGCAGTTTATGACTTTGTGCTTCTAAAGTGTTGGTAGATTCTAACAGCATAACCCTTTAAACAGCAAAATGTAAACAGATATATCTTTTATTCATTTTGCTATTTTATTTGCTTATTTTTCATTTAGAATTCTTTACTTACATTCTGTTTGTCTTCTGATGTTTAAAAAAAAATTACTTGAAATAGAAATAGTACCAGTGATTATTTTTTCCTTCTAAGGACAATTTTTTTAACTTTTTATTATAAACATTCTAAACAGAAATAGAGAAAATATTTTCGGTACCCATTCAGCTTCAGCACTCATGAACCTTATGCTCATCATAAGGACACCTCTTAATTATTGCTGCCTTATCTTTATTACTCTTATATGTAGCGCTTTTCCATTTGTGTTGTTGCATACTCTACCTAAATGGTCTTCAAGGACATTTTAGTCAGCAGCATAAGAGAAAGATGCCAGATGTGCCTCTTTTATTTTGGTGCTTTTCAGCAACCTCAAAGTTGGTTTGAAGACTACAGCCAAGATTAATTAAGGATATTATAACATACGATGTTAGTTTTTAAGAACTTTGTTAGGTGCAAATAACAGGGTACTTACTTGTAGAATATCTCTAGTTTAAGCATAAATATAGCTTCTCCTTAGAAAACCATCATAATTCCACATATTAAAAGGTATATATTCAAGGATCGAGGTTAATAAAATACATAGTTCTTACTGCTCCATCAAGAAAAAAAATTATCGACTTCCGGCCAAGATGGAGGCGTAGGAGGAAACACTGTGCCTCCTCGTACAACCAAGTTTAAAGACAACAAAGTTTTAGTAACAAAAACTCAACCAAAACACAGAAAATTAAACTGTACAGAGTCCGACAACAAACCATTCATCCAGACTGGTAAGAGGGGCAGAGTCAGCAGCTGGCAGAGTGGGATTGGGAAGGAAAAAGTGACCAGACAGACCCTGGAGCACAGGCAGTAGTTGGCAGATCCCAGGCGTGGTATGGCAACGGGTGGTCCAGGGAGGGTCCAAGGTGGCTGGCTGACTGTGGTCACACATTCGTCTGCAGATAAACCAGGCAAAGGAGCGAGCAGAGCAGTAAGACCACACAGGCTAGGACTCCAGTGACAGGAATTAAAGCCTAAAAGCACCAATTGGGAAAACTTTCGGGGTCCAGGTGCTGGGAGAAGCTCCCAGGCTCACCAAGGGTTTCTTGGATAGACCCATAGGGTTCTGGAAGGTGCACAGGCCCACACACCTGAGAGCCGGCACCAGGGGGGGCCTAGTTTGCTTGCGGGAAGCAGCAGAGGGGACCAAAATCCAAGAGACAGCAGAACAAACTCCACTTCCCCTCTCTGACTCCACCCCCACATACAGCATCACAACCCAGCCAACTGGGTTGCCCAGCCCTAGTGAACACCTAAGGCTCTGCCCCTCATATGTAACAGGCGCTAACAGACCAAAACATTATGGCTTAAGATGAAAAGCTCAAAGCCCCAGAGCCAATACTTCTAAGCAACCAAGAGATAGCCAACCTATCAGATGCCCAGTTCAAAACACTGGTGATCAGGATGCTCACAGAACTGGTTGATTTTAGTCCCAAATTAGAGGAACAACTGAAAGCTAAACTAATTGAAATGAAGGAAAATGCACAGGAAACCAATAGTGATGGAAAGGAAACTGGGACTCAAATCAAAGGAGTGGACCAGAAGGAAGAAAGAAACAACCAAACAGAAAAGAATGAAGAAACAAGAATTCAAACAAATGAGGAGAGGCTTAGGAACCTCCAGGACATCTTTAAACGCTCCAACATCCGAATTATAGGGGTACCAGAAGAGGAAGGGGAAGAGCAACAGGTGGAAAACTTATTTGAACAAATAATGAAGGAGAACTTCACCAATATGGCAAAGACAAATAGACTTCTAGGAAATCCAGGAAGCTCAGAGAGTGCCAAAGAATTTGGACCCAAGGAGGAACACACCAAGGCACATCATAATTATATTAGCCAAGATTAAAATGAAGGACAGAATCCTAGAAGCAGCAAGAGATAAGGGGACAGTCACCTACAAAGGAGTTCCCATCAGCCTGTCAGCTGATTTCTCAAAAGAGACCTTACAGGCAAGAAGGAGCTGGAAAGAAGTATTCCAAGTCATGAAAAGCAAGGTCCTCCATCCAAGATTGCTCTGTCCAGCAAAGCTTTCATTTAGAATGAATGTAAGGGCAGATAAAGTGCTTCTCAGATAAGGTCAAATTCAAGGAGTTCATCATCACCAAGCTCTATTATATGAAATGTTAAAGAGACTTATCTAAGAAAAAGGAGATAAAACATATGAACAGTGAAAGGACAGCAAACTCACAGTTATTAACAACCCCACCTAAAACAAAAGCAAACTAAGAGGACAGCTAGATCAGGAGCAGAACCATAGAAATGGAGATCTCATGGAGGGTTAGCAACAGGGCAGTGGGAGGAGGAGAAGGGGGAAGAAGATACAGAAAATAAGTAGCATAGCTGGTAGGTAGAAAATAGACAGGGGGGAGGGTAAGAATAGTATGGGAAATATAGAATCTAAAGAACTTGTGACACATGGACATGAACTAAATGGGGGGAGTGGTGGGGGAGGGGTATGCATGGTGGAGGGGAATGAAGGGGAGAAATGGGACAACTGTAATGGCATAATCAATAAAATATATTAAAAAAGAAAAAAAGAAAAATTATCATGGAGCTATATATAGGTATTTCATGAAACCCAAGGACAGGAATATACTCAGACCTCTAGAAAGAACTCATCTGTTACTATTTTTTAATCTCTAGTTTTTTATGTGAATGTTCCATTCTCTCTCAGTACAAACCTTTTGTGCATTGAATCGGCCTCCTCTCACAAGCCACTCCAAATACATTAGTTTGAATAAAAGCAGTGTAATTAGCGGTAGCTTCAGGTCAAATCCTGTAACATCACTACCAGGCACACTGTACCTTCAGATATAATTATGACTTCTAAATCTCAGCTAAATAGAAATTGTATAGCTACTACTGTTTTGTTCCTCAGTCTATGTGGTAGGATATGACTGCTAGTAACTTCCACATTTACGTATTACCAGCTCAGCACCCCATTGTGATTAAGTTTGTACAAATAACAGACTCCTGGGGAAGAAACCAAGCAGAGATCCAGTTTGGATCCAGTGTCCTCTTTTAAAGGACATAATGTATATAATGGATATAATGTATATAAAGGATATAATGTATAAAATGACTCTTGAATCTATTATGCATATGAAGGATGGGGATAAAGATGGGAGAAATAATCCAACATTATTTGTTTAATGTATATTTAATGGGAAATATGTATGTGTTTGAAACTGCAGATGAATAGGTGAAAGATTGCTAAATTCTCATCAAGTAGAAAGATATCTCTAAAATAGAAAACTAAAGGAAAAATAGGGGTGCTATGTAAAGATACTACATTCTATGATGTAAAGATACAAAAGATACAGCTAAAATGCTGAAAGAGGTTCAGCATTTTAGAGACAGGCAAATGGTAGGGTAGAACGCAAGAAATGATTTCTGGTCTTCATTTTATAGACCTAGTTAACTCTTTAAACCAGCAGTGTCAAATTTATTTTCACTGAGGGCCACATCACCCTTATAGTTGCCTTCAAAGAGCCGAATGTAATTTCAGGACTGTATAAGTGTAACTGCACCTTAACAGTTAAGTAAGAGCTTGGTGCTGCCACCAGGTAGGAACAAGGTACCAGGCCAGATAAAACAGGGTGGAGGGTCAGATTTGGCCCTTGGGCCTTGTGTTTGCCACCTGTGCTTTAAACTGTGATGTTTGACTTTGCTAAAAACAAAAATTTAAACTAAAACTTATTAAATCAAATATATTTCTTTTGACCTGACAGTTCTACTTTTTAGTAAAGGTCTCTAATGAAACAGTTGGACTAGAGAACAAAAGATGCACACAGGTGTTCACTTTAGTATTGTTTATAACATTTAAAAATTGGGGAAGTCAGACTTACATCATTTGAACTGATGAAATAAATTATGTGTTGCTTTGCAGCTATTGACATAGGTAATGTAGCTCTATACTTATATGGAAATATGTTCATAAAAAGCTATTATAAGATGAGTGTTGTAATTCCACATGTATGTTTGATCCAGTTTTTTAAATTGTGAGTTATGTGCATTTTAAAAGCCTAGAAACGTGCTTAAAACATTGATAGTTTTTCATCAGGTTAGTGGGATTAATAAATCTTTTTTTGTTAAGTCAATTGTAATAGTCAGTGAATGACACAAAAGAAACATTGATTTTTCTGAGCAGTGAATATGGATGGTTTTCAGTTAAATAAAGGATATTCAGGGAATCTTCTATAGATGGTTCATTTCCAAACAGAATTCTCTACCTCTAAATTTTGAGTATATAAAAATTTTTGCCTATACAAATTATTGTTATATATTTTTTTCTGCCACACAGAACAATGGTCCATATACATTGGCTAAATTTAGAACAAATTAAAGCAATAGAAATTTATCAATTTTCTGTTACTTTACTAGTTTAGAGACCATCACAGTCTTCCACTTAGAAACCCCATTTTAAGTGATGGTGGGAAAACAGGGTGTTAAATATTTTAATATCTTTTTTTTATATTGGACTTCTTCTGAAATGGATAAAATAATTCTCAAAGTAATATTTTAGTTTCTATGTGATCATCTTCGAGCCAACAGCTGTTGCTCCAACAAAATTTATGTTAATTGTATATTGTTCATCTGACTTCCCAGGTCATAATGATATGCTAATAAAAATTGTAAACATACCATATTTTTAAGACTTATAAAATACACCAGACCATAAGACACACTTAGATTTTAGAGGAAGAAAATAGGGGGAAAATTTTCAAGCAAAAAAATGTGGTAAAATATTTAACAACCTGTGAACCCTCTCCACTGCTGCCCCCCTACACACACACACAGCAAGCCAGGTAAACTACATTTGGACTATAAGATGTACCCCACCTTTCCTCCCAGATTAGGGGGTGTGTCTTCTAGCCTGAAAAGTATGGTACCTAAAAAAGCAGGTTAAGCATGAGAGAGTTTCCTCCAGTGATAATGGGTTTAAAAAGAAATCTGTGCATGTTATAGCATATTAGTTAATATTGCCCTTTTAGCCTCAATCCTGTGGAAATATCAGTGGATGTATGCAAGGTACAGTTAGAGATTCATGACTATCTTCTCCCTAACACATAGACTATCTCCTCCTTTCATTAACTATACTATCCACAGATCAAGGTGAGAGGATAACTTTTGTTGTTATAACCCATTATGTCTCTCCCAGTACTACTAATATCTCCCAATTTACCACTCTTTGGGTATCTTGAAGACATTTACAAAAACTTAGACCAAACTGGTGCACATGCAAAAGCATGACACTGCTAATGCGCAGAAGGAGTATGTGAATGTCATCTGCTTCACTACAAGCACTAGAAGAAGCAGCAGGTGGAAAGAATTGTCAAAAACCTAATTTTGAATTCTTCATATTTTAACAGTTTGCATAAATATATCAGTTTTGTCTTTACAGCTCTTTGAAATAATTAGGGCAGATATCTGCTCCATTTTCAGAGTTTCAGATGTCTGAGATCACACATTCTGTAAACAGCAGAGGAAGAGCATGGCTTCTAAACCAGTGCTCTTTTTCACCAATGGGAATATCATGTTGTATTTTATTGACTTTGTATTTGTAGTGAATTTGAGTAGTCATGCTTTTATTTCTTCAAGCTTTTGCCACAGGAAGTATCTTTTTGTGCGAGATCCAACCCCATCGTTTCCTTCTCTGTCTGACCAATCATCCTTCAAACTTGACTCTCATACGTGCTGTCCATATTTCTGTTTATCTCTTCTATTTTAATGGTTTTCTCAATCAAATGCAGGAAGTCATCACTTTGCACAGTTGTACAGGACCATAAAAATGACCCTTAAGCTGAAACTGTGCAAAGTGACCTTGCTAATCAATGGGGAAACTATGGTTGGTTCTACGAACTTTAAATTTTATATCAAAACATTAAAATATCTTAATTATTTAAATAAATCTATTGGGAAATGAAAAATAATAAAACTAGTACTGATTTAGTGTTTGGTAAGTCTAAATATTAGAAACACAGAGAATTTTAAGTATTTTATTTCTTTGTAAAAACTAAGCACAAGTAGTTTGAATAGGCTTTGTATCCTTCATGTCATTTAACTTAAAATACAGAGTGAGCATTCTTCTTTACCTTGGCAAATTGTCATAATCCTTTCTAAGTTTGAATTTACTTCCAGTGTTTTGTCCTCTTCACTTTTAATATTGTAAAGTATTTCCAAGAGTTTCTTTAATAAAAAGTTTTATGGCAGGATCATGTCCTCACAGACATCTTTATCCTTTTTATTACAATCACTGTCGTCATTTATATTGATAAGTTCACCTGCACTAAATCCCTTTCTCTGTATATATATAGTCTCTTACACAATAGTAGTGTATATTTTCATCATCAGCTCTTTCTTCTCTAACTTCATTTATATTGTCACTTTTTGTTCCTTTGCTGCACTTTTAACTTTTTTGGTTAGTTTTCTCTTTAGATTATTCATTTTTTCGTGGGTTTATCATTGGGAGACAAAGAGGCAACACAAGTACACACTTTGTTGTCTCTGCATGAAGTGAATAAGAGATGCACAGTGACAAATTACCAACAGACATTAAAAGAAGTGATGTGTTTGGTCACTGATCAAGATGTATGTCTATTATTTATGTAGTGATTTTTGAACTGTTATGGTACCAGCAAAGATTGTATTTTATGCAATTATTTACAATGAATACACAAATAATAACTGAAATTTGTACCATGTTGTTAAGAGATGGGTGTTATTTGACTAAACTGTGGTAACTGAAATTTGTGCATATCTGACAGTGCAAAGTGAAGGCTGACTGTATCTAGTCACCTTGCGAGATAACTAGTCTTACCTGTATGGCTATGCACATAATAGAGCATCAGGGGAAAAGTTGTTGAATAAAGAAGGAAAAAAATAAGGTATCTTCAAGGGAAAGCTAGATTTATATTCTTTTTTTTTAAGTAGGTGAGTGAATGGATAGATGCTTTGCTATATGTAATTTTAGTTTTCATACTACCGAATTTATAAACATAAATTTTGTGCTTTAACTTTTAGAAAGCTATGTACTAATCTGAAACCTTATTTGCATTACATTGCAGGCTGACCTCTGTGTCCCTCGATTGAATGAAGGGGACCAAGTTGTATTGATCAATGGTCAGGACATTGCAGAATATACCCATGATCAGGTTGTCCTGTTTATTAAAGCTATCTGTGAGAGACATTCTGGGGAACTCGTACTTCTAGTTCGACCGAATGGTAAGTACTCTTTGGAGAACTGAATATTTTTCATAATTATTAGTATCTATTACTGGACATGGTGATCGGAGTAGGCTTTTTAAAACGTAACTCATGTCACTTTCCTGTTCAAAGCACAGTAGTAGCTTCCATCCACACTTGGAATAAAATCTAAATTCTAGGTCTCCTTACCTACCACTCAGCCTTGCTCACTCTATTTTGTGCTGACTTTCTGCCTAAAACACTGTTTCCTGATTTTAGTATGACTTGTACCCTCACTCCCTTCTGATCTCTGCTCAAATGTCATCCTCAGAAAGTCCTTCCTGCCTGGCTACCATAGCTAAAGTGGCCTTCTTCTTCCCCCACTTGCTCTAGTAGTTGTAGTATATAATCAATAAATAATTGTTGAATAAACAAGTAAATTTGAATTTTGTTCCACTTTTAGAAAATTCTAACAAGCTTTAGCTAAAACATTTTTTATTTAATCTTGTCTATATTTTTGGTAGAGAATGCCTCGTAGCCTAATCGGGTCATCTCCTGCTCTGAACAGCTGTTGTGTTTGTCCAGAGTCAGAGTCGCAGGCTTACAGAAACCCTCATACTGTAAGCTCTGGCTTCGTTGCTGACTACTTGAGTTCCTTTATAATAATCTCAAGAACATGCTGCTGATGTGGAGCAGTCATTGGCTCCCAAAGTAGTCATTCCTTCTTTGTATAGCTTCAACTATTAATCAAACTAACAATTTAACTTCCTTCAGTCCTAATTGTTCCTAATTCTATCACTTTGTGTTATACAGAATAAGTTTAATCCTTCCTTCAGTTTTTTGACAAGAGGTGATTTTATCAGAAATTCTCCCTCTTTCCTCCAGTTCGTTAATCCCAGATCTTTCAGCCAGTGTTCATATGGCATTGTTTCAAGTTTCTGCAACTTTATTATTCTCCTCTGAGAAAAAATTCTTATATGCCTATATCCCAGCATTATACATATTCTTCTAGCTTTGTTCTGAATAGTTTGCTATTATTCATAGTTTTAGCCACAAGAGTAACTAATGGTTAATGCCATGTTACCAGTTGCTGAACATAGGGAAATAAAATGTAATTAGAATTCTATTTTTATTTTTATTTATTTTTTTAAATATTTTATTTATTTATATTTAGAGGGGAGGGGAAGAGAAACATCAATGTATGGTTGCCTTTCGTGCGTCCCCTGCTGGGAACTGGCCTGCAGGGAACTCATCTGCAACCCCGGCATGTGCCGTGACTGGGAATCGAACCGCCATTCTCTGGTTGGCAGGCCTGTGCTCAATCCACTGAGCTACACCAGCCAGGGCCTAGAATTCTATTTTTACACCATACTCAACCCTGTAAAATTTGCAAGAAAAAAATTGCAAAACTAATCTTGCCTGTTAGATACAAATAGGCATTTTCATTTCATCTTCTCTACTTTGTGGTTTTTTTGCTTTCATGATACAGAATTTGCTTTCTAGGAAAATTTAGGGGATTTCAACACAGCATTCTGTTTTGAATTTTCAAAGACCTCAGTCATTTAGATCTGACATTTAGGTGATTTATTATTAGGCATCTTTTGTCACATAAAGCCACTTAAATTTTATACTAAGAATAACATTCTCTTTATTTTGTTTTGTTTTCTCTTGATAATAGATGCTAAAGAACTTAATAATCATTTTTAAATGCTTTTCATATACCTGAACTCTTTTGTATATATATTTTTTAATTTTTTAAAGATTTTATTTATTCATCTTTAGAGGGGAAGGGAAGGAGCGAGGGAGAGAAACATCAATGTATGGTTGCCTTTTGTGCGTCCCCTGCTGGGAACTGGCCTGCAGGGAACTGGCCTGCAACCCAGGCATGTGCCCTGACTGGGAATCGAACCACAATTCTCTGGTTCGCAGGCCCGTGCTCAATCCATTGAGCTACACCAGCCAGGGCTCTTTTGTATATTTTTATTTAATCTTTACAGTCATCTAATGCACCAAATGACTTACCCCATTTTATAGATGAAGATACTTTGGCACCTAGACATTGAGTTATCTGCTCACAAATGCATGACTAGTACAGACCCAGAATATGAACAAAAGTCCCTATAATGGAAGTCTTAACCTTTTTGCAGTTCCTCATCTATACTTTAAATTTGGAGAAGAACCCACCTGTGTCTTACTTTGTGACAAATGATGTTTCTAATATTACTTTATTATCAAAATCTGGGCAGGACTTGTGTTCATTTTCATTGATTTATCATGTCCATTTTTACTTAAAATTACATACAGCAGGTCCTTAAACAATATTTTGTTCAACATCATTTTAATATAACATTGATGAGAAAAAAAAATAATTTCCAGCTGGGGCCACTGTGTGAAGTTGGCACATTCTCCCATGTCTGCATATGTTTTCTCTGGTACTCTGGGTTCCTCCCATATTCTAAAGATGTGCACATGAGGTGAACTGACGTGTCTGTCTTGTCCCAGTCTCAGTGAGTGTGATGTGTGTCTGAGTGGCCCTGTGATGGAAGGGTGTCCTGTCTAGGGTGTGTTTGTGTCTTGAGCTGCCAGGAGAGTATCTGGCCACCTACAACCCTGAACTGGAATAAGCAGGTTTGAAAATAATTATCTTACTTGTTCTTATTAATTTTTATTAAATGTGTATATAGCTCACACATATGTCAGTGTTTAATATCAGAAGTATTTTGGATCTTTATTTAGAAGTTTGGTGATGTTTTTGTGACCAGAAATATGCTATAGAAACTTAACTCTAGTTTTTATCAACTAGGTTTCACTATATGTCATTTTGTTAAAATCTCAGTTTCCAAGAACCTGTCAGTAATATTAAGTAAGGGCTTACCGTATAATCAAAAAACAAATAGCTTATTTTTTTCTGGTCTTTTCCCCTTTAAATCTTATTTCTTCTTAGACAAAATACATTTGTACTTTTTTGTCTTTTTGTTCTTCATTTTAGAAATTTATTCCTGGAAGTTCATACATATCTAAGCAGGAACCAAACCTCTTAGTCAAGGGGATAATAGACCCCTTAGCTGGCTTTACCCTGTAGAAGTCTGTATTCTGGTTCTCCAACTTTGCCCACTACCACTTTGCCAAGATTTTGTAGGAGCCAAGGGTACATGCCACACCATCACTTGTGACCCCTGCCCCATCCTTCCTAGACAGTTTTTTTCAAGCCTCAATACTCTGTTCATTTCTCCAAATCCATTCTCCCAAGGTGGCTCATGTGATGTATGTAACCCTGGACCAGGGGAAGTAACTAAAATGAAGTCATTGCAGAGCTGTGTAGAACAAACTTACATATGGACTGGGTTGCTCATGGGAATGTTTATATTTTCCCATGTTCAATAATGGAGCTAAGGGTAAGAAAGAAGTAGGGTGGTCTGCAGGCCAGGGTCTAGGGACTAGCTCTCCTCACGCTACCATTATAGAGAATTCTGGCCTAGTATCTCATTTCAAATTTAGACTCTCAGGTTGTTTTATAGATGTGAAGGAGAGAGGATAAAACATTTTGGTTAGAACACTGTTCGTTTTATTTGTAACCATTCATATCTAGGCATACAGGATATAGACTTTTATTTGTACTCTTGCCCTAAGTCCCACGAATTAGGGCAGGTCTCTTCAGAGCTGCATTTTGGCAACTCCTCTTTTTCTTAGTGTCTCTTCAAGTCATAGACATTTTTAGCAAAATGGCCAAGAACCCTTCTTTTCCCCAAAGGTACAGCAAATTTATTCGACTCCACAGTCACTCTTCGTCCCTACATCATGACATCAGACTCAGATGTGATAAATTATAAATAAGTACAGTATTTCCTGACACATAATTAAAGAGTAAATCTGCTAAATTCCTTTCACCAATTCATTAAGTTTTCCATGTGGATTTTTTTGTTTTGTTTTGTGTTAGCTGTCTATGATGTAGTGGAAGAAAAGCTTGAAAATGAGCCAGACTTCCAGTACATTCCTGAGAAAACCCCATTAGACAGGATCCACCAGGATGACCATTCCCTGCGGGAGTCGATGATCCAGCTAGCTGAGGGGCTTATCACTGGAACAATCCTGACACAGTTTGATGTAAGTGATACTGTATGATTTCTTAACTGCCTTATCTATCAGTTACTATTTACAAACTAAAGTGGTATTCTGAGAATAGTTGAGATAAAAGTTCTAAAATACAAGTTTTTTAAATTGCCAAAATACCACCTATTGTTACACAAATTAGATGCCTATTTAAAAGAGAGGAATAAGGAAATTTTAATACATATGTAATCAAACTAAATTTCTTTCTGTAATTAAATAGCTTTTTTTATGAAAGGTGGCAGATGAATATAGGTGATCGCAGACTTAAAAATCCTGAGTTAAAGGAAAATAACTTCTGAACCTTGTAATATTTAATCCTCCTCTAATTTTTGTCAATATAGTTATTACTATTTGTTGTTTTGAATTCTATGCTGTAGATAACTGACTAAAACATTTGTGATGAAAAAACATTTAGGGTCTGACAGTTTTTATTTTTTAAGAAGTTGGGTTTATGTACTATAAACATCTACAAACTAAATGAAGGCTAAATGTTTTCTGTAGATTTTCTATTCAAAACTCCAGGTACCTTTTTGCTGTAAGTCAAACTGTTTCCACTTTCTTGTCATTCTTCAAAATATGACATATAATTCATGACAGAAATTGTACCAAATTTAGCTTTAGGAATCTGGTTTATTATCCTATCAGCTTAAGTTATATTATTGTATAGATCAAATATTCTAAGGAATAAAACCTGTTTGATAGCATAGAAACAAGTTGAAAAAACAAAAAAGAAACTCTTAATGTCTTACTGGATTTGTACCTTTTTTTTAGCAACTATATCGGAAAAAACCTGGAATGACAATGTCTTGTGCCAAATTACCTCAGAACATTTCCAAAAATAGATACAGAGATATTTCACCTTGTAAGTACTTATGATCTCTGTGTGTTAAGTTTAATTTTTTTAAATATAACTTTATTAAAACTTTTTTTTCAAATTTTTCCAGATGATGCTACACGGGTCATTTTAAAGGGTAATGAAGACTACATCAATGCAAATTATATAAATGTAAGTTTATTTTTATTATATCTTTCTCATTGGTTTAGAGGGGCCACTATAAACTTTGGAATTTATTCCTTTTTGTTAAAAGGCTAACCTTGAGAGAATATTGAAACTTTCAGATGTTGAAAAATATCATAAAATTAATTTTAAAAAATAGTTTGGGAGTGGCATATTAATCTACACAAACAACACTGGAATGGAATAGTCTAGTACAGAAATAAGCTAAAATAAAGACTAGAATTTTGGCCCTGGCTGGTGTAGCTCAGTGGATTGAGCGCGGGCCTGTGACCCAAAGGATCGAAGTTCCATTCCCAGTCAGGGCACATGCCTGGGTTGCAGGCCAGTTCCCAGCATAGGACGCACAAGAAGCAACCATACGTTGATATTTCTCTCCCTCTCTCCTTCCCTTCCCCTCTAAAGATAAATAAATAAAATCTTAAAAAAAAAAAGTACCCATTAGCTTTCGAAAAAAAGACTAGAATTTTGTGTATGGTAGAGATAGCCTTTTAAATCATTGAAGATAAAACAGATTATGTAGTGAATCAGTTAGGTCTGTCTAGAATATATCATTATAAGGAGGGTCCCCCCCACATAGAGCAAAAGAAAGAAAAGAATTATTACTTTTTTTCTTAAATTTGTGTTACAGAAAATTTCAAGCATACAAAAGTCAAGCAAAAATTAAAATGAACCTGTTTATACACGTGACTCAACTTCCAACAATTATCAACTTATGGCCAACTTTGTTTCACCTATACCCCTATCATGCCCCCACACATCCAAATTATTTTGAAACAAATCCATACATCATATCATTTATCTATAAACACTTTGCCCTCACACTCTTTTAAGGCCAGCATACATTTTAGATATATTGAAATATAAATGTAAGGAATAGAATCATGAAACTACTTGGAGGATATATGTGAGAATTGTTTAAAATCTCAGAAAGGGTCCCTGACCAGTGTGGCTCAGTTGGTTGAGCATCATCCTACAAAGCGAAAGGTCACTGGTTTGATTCCCAGTCAAGGTACGTGACTGGGTTGTGGGTTTAGTCCTGGGACAGGACACGTGCAAGAGGCAATTGATTGATGTTACTCTCCCTGCCTTTCCTTACCCTTCCCCCTCTCTCTAAAAGTGAAAATAAAATATTTGAAAAAATAATGTCTCAGGGGAAGGTTTTTTTAAGCTTATATACATGTCTAAGCTATAAAGAAAAGATAATTCAAGGAATGCTTAAGAAGTACTATAAAATCAAATGGGAAACTAAATTTTTAACATACTACAAAAGCACCCTGGCTGGTATAGCTAAGTGGATTGAGCACAGGCTTATGAACCAAAGGGTTGCTGGTTCAATTCCCAATCAGGGCACGTGCCTGCATTGTGGGCCAGGCTCCAGTAGGGGGCCCTCGAGAGGCAACCACACATTGATGTTTCTCTCCCTCTCTCCTTCCCTTGCCCTCTCTCTAAAAAGAAATAAATCTGTAAAAAAAACTACAAAGGTTGTATTTCTTCAATATGTAAAGAGCCCTATACATGAATAAGACAGATAAATGGAGTACAATGAAAATAATGAAGGCTATGCAGAGATAGTTCATAGGAAAGGTCTTGCAAATGACATTTAAAAAATTTTATGGCATTTCCAATTCTTTACAAAAGTAGAACAAAATGAAGATCCATACCCCCCATCATAAACCTGTTACCCAGCTTGAAGAACAATCAACAAATGGCCAGTCTTGTTCCATATAAACACTAAACCCCTAGATTATTTTTTAAGTGCAGATATATCACTGTTTGTAAATAGAGTCTACTTTTATTATTTATGATAGTCTATAAAGTCTTCATTAACCCTGAATTAGTGAATATTGAGTCCTTGCTCCAAGGGGAAATATAAGGTTAGGTGCCCATGACCCTCTCGTTGCAACATTTTTGTCAGCTGATCAAAACATAAATCTTGTTTCTGTTTAAAGATACCTTATTTAATACACATTGTTGATTAATTAACATTGAATTCACAGCCAACAGCTCTATAACTCATACCTGAAGGAAGCTTATTTAGCATATTTGTTTGTTCCATAAGGCATATCATGGCCTCCTTACACTTGAACACCATACAGTATGCAGCACTACCCTTGGGGACCACTTTAAACAGTGAAATCACTAACAACAAGCACAAAAATGAAACAGATTGCAAAAAGGGCACTTGTTTACAATAGGATAGCAGAAACAGGAAGACAGGACAGCCACATCTTATTCCATATTGGTTAGAAATGTACACTTAGGGTAGCTCAAATTTTTCTTCTGTTAACATGTCTATAAATAACCATGAAAGCTCTGCAGGTACTTTGGGGTTACAAATAAATTTTAGTAAATAGGTAAACCTGGAAACACAGAATCTGTGAATAATGACAATTCACTATTTTAATATGTATCTATCTCAGAGGACCATTTTTTATTTTTATTTTTTAGCAAAACCTCAATTATAGCACTTGGAAAAATATTGCAGTTAAATAATACACTCAAATTCACAAAAAGAAAAGTCAAATCACAACTTTGGGAATTAGCATTTTTCACTTATTAGATTAAAATATCAGAAAGTTTGATAATACCACATTTAAGTCTGTATTCTTTATCTGAAAGGTTGAGATCAAATGTGCTTTGGAATTCAGAGTTTTTAAATTTTAGCTATTAAGTATATATGCCATATATAATACAGGTAATATCTCTAGCAAGCCATAGTCATTATATTGGTATTCAACAGCTAACTGGATATTTCCACTAATAGTCTTAGATGAGTTCAAGTCAGATATTGCTGTAAAATGAGTCCAGGTTAGGCCAGGTGTACCAAAAGGAAAAGGCAAAGTTACACTTCAGAGTCGGAGAATTCATTCTTTTGGTGTCTCTGGGTCACACTGGAAAAAGAGTTGTCTCGGGCCACATATTAAATACACAAATACTAATTAAAACTGATGAGCAAAAAAAGGTCCATGCATAATTTTTGTGATATCTGCCACCACAGATAAGCAAAAAATCCTCACATAATAACCCTAATTATGCAGCAGCTCTTTTGGTAATCTTTTAAAATCATCAAACTGGTCCCAAGTGTGTGATCACTAATTTGGAAAATGCACATATCTAAGTAATATAACTTAATATAAAACTTAGTAATAAAATTAAATAATGTTTCAAGTAAAGTTACAATTTTGTGTTTGGCTGCATTCATAGCCATCCTGGGCTGCATGCAGCCCATGGGCCATAGGTTGGACGCCCCTGCTTTAGAGTACTGGGAGTTCCAGAATTGTGAACTGTGGATTATGGATATGTTAAGGCCACTTGTCAGGAAACAAGCATTTCTCATACATTACTGGTAAAGATATAAATAGGTACAATTTCTTTGGAGAGCAAATTGGTACTATCTGACAAAATTCTAAAGGCACATAACACTTTGATCCAACATTCTCATTTCTACCTATTGCCCATTCAAATAGGTTTCTTAATGTGCATAAAAATATTAGGTTCACAAGAGTATTCATTGCAGCTTTGTTTATGGTAGTAAACAGATTAGCAGCAATTTAAATGTCTATTAAATAAAGTATGGTATATTTATACAGTAGAGTGACTAAAAAGAATGAAATTTTATTTACAAATCTGACAATATCAGTGATAAAGTGAAGAAAAAAAAGATGCAGAATAACATTATATGCTACCACTTATGTTTTACAGAAAAAGAGGAAAATAGTTTTGCATGTTCATTTTTGTGTTATATATAGAATATCTCTGAATGGATGGATATATTAGTAACTAGAAGAGAGGGTTGCTCTCCTGGACAGAAACTACAGGCTGGGGTGGAAGGGAGACTTCTGTTTTCACCCTTCCAGTTGCAGTGTGCGTGTGTCACCTTTTCTTTTTTAAAATTTCATCTCAAAATGTAGTATCGTTTTACCCAAATATGATCTTATCTCTCTGAAGATAATAATGAATTTAAAATGTTTCACTCATATTCTTTTGTGTTACATTTTTATGGAAAATCTAAACTAAAATGGCAAAATTTTTGCCCCTCACAAATTATCAATAAGTGTTCAGAGACGAAGTCTCTGCCTCTGAAACTGGGTTCTATGTAAAACTGCTCTTAAAACTATAACTGTGCTTTGGAAAACACTTGAATTTCTGTTTCTACTAATTGGAAAATATATTTGTTTAAATATCAGCCATTGGCAAGAAATTTCTTCTACAGATAAAATGAGAAATTGTTCTTAAAGATTTATTATACTAATTTTGCAGTTTTTTGAAATTAGTGTTATTTGATTATTATTTAGTGGATGATTTTCATATGCTTGATTATAGTAAAAAATAGTAATAAAATATTTTATTTTTGTATCTTTTTTTTTAGATGGAAATTCCTTCTTCTAGCATCATAAATCAGTATATTGCTTGTCAAGGGCCATTACCGCACACTTGTACAGATTTTTGGCAGATGACTTGGGAACAAGGTTCCTCCATGGTTGTAATGTTGACCACACAAGTTGAACGTGGCAGAGTAAGTCATACTTGAATTTTACCCATTGTTTGGGCCTTCTTCAAATTACAATGCATATACTATAGTCAAAATATTCTCATTGGTTTAGTCTTTTTTGTAACCTTTCCATATCTTGGCTATTATAAATAATGCTGCAGTGAACATAATGGATAGTATATGTCCTTTCCATTTGGTATTTGGGTTTCTTCAGATGAATAACCAAAAGTGGAATTGCTGGGTCCTTCCTTATCTCTTGTTATAGCTTTTGTTTTAGACTATATTTTTTCTGGTATAAATATTACTGCCCCAGCTTTTTCTTTTTTTCCATTTTCATCTAATGTTTTTCCATCCTTTTTACTTCGTGTGTGTGGTTTTGTTGTTTTGTTTTATTTTTTAGAGTTATTTATTTTTAGACAGAGAAAGGAAGGAGAAAGAGAGGGAGAGAAAGAACAATGTGTGGTTGCCTCTCACATGCCCCCTACTGGAAACCTGGCCCATAATCCAAGCATATGCCCTAGACTGGGAGTTGAACCAGTGACCCTTTGATTCACAGGCTGGCATTCAACCACTGAGCCACACCAGCCAGGGATCTGTGTATGTTTTTCGATATAAACTGAGTCCCTTGTAGACAATATGTAAGGGTCTTGTTTTGTTATTCATTCAACCACCACCATATGCCTCTTGATTGAAGCATTTAATCAATTTGCATTTAAAGTCATTTTTGAAAAAAAAATAAAGTCATTTTTGGTAGATAACTGTATTTATTACATTTTTCATTCATATTTTTTATTTTTTCCCTCTTTCATCTAAAGAAGACCCTTTAACATTTATTGTAATGCAGATTTGGTGGTGATGAACTACTTCAACATTTTCTTATTTGAGAAGCTTTTTATCTGTCCTTCTAGCCTAAGTGATGGCTTGGATGGGTAATCTTGCTTGAACGTCCTTGCTTTTTGTCAGTTTGAGTCATCTCTTGCCAATTCCTTTCGACCTACAAAGTTTCTGTTGAGAAAACAGCTTATAGTCTTATGGGAGCTCCTTTGTAAGTAACTGTCTTTCTCATGCTGCTTTAAGATTCTTTCTTTCTGAGACCTCTGGCCAAGATGGAGGCGTAGGTGGACACACTGTGCCTCCTTGCACAACCAAAATAAGGACAACAACAATTTGGAAACAAAATAACAACCAGAACTGACAGAAAATTGAACTGTATGGAAGTCGGACAAACAAGGAGATAAAATAGACACATTCACCCAGAATGGTAGGCTGGGAAAAGTCGGGCAGCCGGGTGCAGAAGGTTCGTGGCACAAAATGTGGCGGCACCAGGCTCACAAGGCACCCAGGGCACGTAGGGGGTGGTTGGCAACCTCAGGCACACGGGAGCGGCAACAGGCAGACCCAGCGAGGCGACGATTATGAAGCGAGGCACTGTGTGCAAGGCAGCTGGCTGACCAGCAGTCCCACATTTGCGTGCAGATAAACTAGGTGAAATTGGGAAACTAGACACACTGTGCAACCCAGGATCCCAGTGCTGAGAAATAAAGCCTGAAAACACCTGTGGGGGTTCAGGCACAGGGAGAGACTCCCAGCCTCACAGGAGAGTTTGTCTAGGACCTTCACAGGGTCCTATATTATAAAAAAAGCCCACCCACACGGAAATCAGCACCAGAAGGGCCCAGTTTGCTTGGGGGAAGTGGCAGAAGGGACTGAAATCTGACAGACAGCAGAGCAAGCACCATTGTTCCCTCCTGGACCCTGCCCCCACATACAGCATCACAACTCAGCCACATGGGTTTCCCCACTCTGGTGAACATATAAGGCTCCACCCCTCACTAGTAACAGGCAATACAAGACCAAAAAAAATCTGGACCAAGTGGAAGAAGATATTAAAGCTACACAGCAAATACAACTAACTGACAAAGAGGTAGCTAACCTATCAGATGCACAGTTCAAAGCACTGGTGATCAGGATGCTCACAGAATTGTTTGAATTTGGTCGCAAATTAGATGAACAAATGAAAACTACACTAAGTGAAATGAAGGAAAATGCTCAGGGAATCAACAGTGACAGGAAGAAAACTGGGACTCAGATCAATGGAGTGGACCAGAAAGAAGAAACACATAACCAAACAGAAAAGAATGAAGAAACAAGAATTCAAACAAATGAGGAGAGGCTTAGGAACCTCCAGGACATCTTGAAATGTTCCAACATCTGAATTATAGGGGTACCAGAAGAGGAACAAGTGGAAAACTTATTTGAACAAATAATAAAAGGGAACTTCCCCAATCTGGCAAAGGCAATAGACTTCCAGGAAATCCAGGAAGCTCAGAGAGTCCCAAAGAAGTTGGACCCAAGGAGGAACACATCAAGGCACATCATAATTACATTAGCCAAGATTAAAATGAAGGAGAGAATCCTAGAAGCAGCAAGAGATAACGGGACAGTCACCTACAAAGGAGTTCCCATCAGCCTGTCAGCTGATTTCTCAAAAGAGACCCTACAGGCAAGAAGGGGCTGGAAAGAAGTATTGCAACTCATGAAATCCAAAGACCTACATCCAAGATTGCTCTGTCCAGCAAAGCTTTCATTTAGAATGAATGTAAGGGCAGATAAAGTGCTTCTCAGATAAGGTCAAATTCAAGGAGTTCATCATCACCAAGCCCTTATTATATGAAATGTTAAATGGATTTATCTAAGAAAAAGAAGGTAAAATATATGAACAGTGAAAGGACAGCAAACTCACAAATATTAACAACCACACCTAAAACAAAAACAAACTAAGCCAACAACTAGAACAGAAACAGAACCACAGAAATGGAGATCACATGGAGGGTTAGCAACAGGGGAGTGGGAGGAGAAGAAAGGGGGGAAGGTACAGAGAATAAGTAGCATAGATGGTCGGTAAAAAATAGATAGTGGGGAGGACAAGTATAGTATGGGAAATGTAGAAGCTAAAGAACTTACAAGTATTGACACATGGACATGAACTAAAGGGGGGAATATGGGTGGGAGGGGGTGTGTAGGGTAGAGGGGAGTGAATGGGGTAAATGGGACAACTGTAATAGCATAATCAATAAAATATATTTTTTTAAAAACATTATCTTTAACCTTTGGCATTTTAATTATAATGTGTCTTGGTGTGATTGGCCTCTGGATTCAACTTGTTTCTAACTCTGTGCTTCCCAGAGTTATATGTCTATTTCCTTCACCAAGGTAAGGAAGTTTTCTGTCATTGTCTTTTCAAATAGAGTTTCTTTCTTTTTATTGTTCTTCAATTACAGTTGTTCCAATTTCCCCCCCATTGCTCTCCCCTGCCCTACCCACTCCCTGCTTCCATAGTCATTCTTTACCCTATTGTTCACATCCATGGGTCCTTTATACCTGTTCCTGAGTTACCATTCCCCTTCTCTTCCGCATGACCTCTTCTCCTCTCCCCTCTGGTCACTGTCAGTTTGTTCCTAATTTCCATGTCTCTGGTTCTATTTTGCTCATTTGTTTCTTCTGTTGATTAGTCCATTTATAGGTGAGATCATAGGGTAATTTGTCTCTCACCACCTGACATATTTTACTTAGCATAATACTCCCCAGTTTCACCCATGCTGTTGCGAAGGGTAAGAGTTCCCTCTTTCTTTCTCCTGTGTAGTATTCCACTGTGTAAATGTAACACAGTTTTTTGATCCACTCATTTACTGATGGGCACTTAGGTTGCTTCCAGCCCTTAGCTATTGTAAATTGTGCTGCTATGAACATTGGGGTGCATAGGTTCTTTTGGATTGGTGATTCAGGGTTCTTAGGGTATAATCCCAGAAGTGGATCCCTGAGTCAAAAGGCAGTTCCATTTTTAGTTTTCTGAGGAAATTTCATAGTGTTTTACACAGTGGCTTCACCAGTCTGCATTCCCACCAACAGTGCACTAGGGTTCCCTTTTTTCCACATCCATGCCAATGCTTGCTGTTTATTGATTTCTTTTTTTAAATATATTTTATTGATTGTGACATTACAGTTGTCCCATTTCCCCCCTTCATTCCCCTCCACCCTGCACACCCCTCCCCCACCATATCCCCCTTTAGTTTATGTCCATGTGTCAAAAGTTCTTTAGATTCTATATCTCCCATACTATTCTTGCTCTCCCCCCTGTCTATTTTCTACCTACCAGCTATGCTACTTATTCTCTGTACCTTCTCCCCCCTTCTCCTCCTCCCACTCCCCTGTTGCTAACCCTCCATGTGATCTCCATTTCTATGGTTCTGCTCCTGATCTAGCTGTCCTCTTAGTTTGCTTTTGTTTTAGGTGTGGTTTTAGTAACTGTGAGTTTGCTATCCTTTCACTGTTCATATGTTTTATCTTCTTTTTCTTAGATAAGTCCCTTTAACATTTCATATAATAAGGGCTTGGTGATGATGAACTCCTTGAATTTGACCTTATCTGAGAAGCACTTTATCTGCCCTTACATTCATTCCAAATGAAAGCTTTGCTGGACAGAGCAATCTTGGATGTAGGTCTTTGGATTTCATGAGTTGCAATACTTCTTTCCAGCCCCTTCTTGCCTGTAGGGTCTCTTTTGAGAAATCAGCTGACAGGCTGATGGGAACTCCTTTGTAGGTGACTGTCCCGTTATCTCTTGCTGCTTCTAGGATTCTCTCCTTCATTTTAATCTTGGCTAATGTAATTATGATGTGCCTTGATGTGTTCCTCCTTGGGTCCAACTTCTTTGGGACTCTCTGAGCTTCCTGGATTTCCTGGAAGTCTATTGCCTTTGCCAGATTGGGGAAGTTCCCCTTCATTATTTGTTCAAATAAGTTTTCCACTTGTTGCTGTTCCTCTTCCTCTTCTGGTACCCCTATAATTCAGATGTTGGAGCATTTCAAGATGTCCTGGAGGTTCCTAAGCCTCTCCTCATTTGTTTGAATTCTTGTTTCTTCATTCTTTTCTGTTTGGTTGTTTCTTTCTTCCTTCTGGTCCACTCCTTTGATTTGAGTCCCAGTTTCCTTTCCATCACTATTGGTTTCCTGTGCATTTTCCTT